CCTTTGCTCTCCCCAGATGTGACACCCTCATGCCAACCCTAGGGGACCTGCATCCCAACACCAGTGATGACAGTCACAGATGAGTATTGGTCAGGCCTAAATTCTTCCCTCACTGTATCTCTTTTAACCCTCACAACAACCTGATGAAGAAAGTAGAGGGTATCATTACCCCCATTTTAAAGGTGAGAAAACTGAGACTCGGGGAAGTGAAATGACCAGCCCAAGATTACCAGCCAGGAGGATGCAGACACTGACTCCAAAGCCTCTGTGTGCTTCCAACTCCTCCCTAGTCAGGCTCCCCTAAACCAGGCCCTTCAAATCTCGAAGTCATGTTGACCACCTGCTCCATCCTTGGGGAAAGCCCAGGCCTGCCCCTTTCCTCTCCACTTTCCCAGGTAGAAGTTCTGTTGTGCTTGAGGGAACAACGGGGCCAACATGATTGGGTGGAGATTTTTACTGGCTGCGTGACCTTGGGCAAGTCACTCCCCCTCTCAGGGCAATTGTTTTCTCCTCTATAAAGTGGGGATAATAATCTAACCTGCTAGCATGATGGCGAAGAGGAACTGAGCTGTACATGAAGGACCAAGTGACTTGTCTCATCCCAGAGAGTTTTGTTCATTCTTTCCTCCAGTTTCCATTACCTGGACCTCCGCTAACCATTTCCTGCCAGAGGCCTGGTCCTCTGCATGGAACTACCCAGTGATGGTCTTTCTGTGAGGTCTGAGCAAGGGCTCATGTTTGCTTTGGGTGACCCAGAATATCTCCATGGTCCCTGACATTAGCCTCCCCCTAACCTTTCAGCCTAAGGGGCCCCTGGCCCCAAGATGCTGATGGACCCTGAAAAAAAATAGGGCTGGCGTCTCTTGGCTAACTCCAGTGTAAACACTGGGTCCTCATCTGAAACACACACCTCGACTCGGAGGCTGACGGGCCAGCGGTACTTGATGAGTCTTCTTTCAATGTTCTCTGACTTATTCGCTTGGAGGAAGTTTCTCATGTGGGCACACATTCTCACACACAAGCCTCGCTCACACTCTTACGCTCACAGTCAAGCCCACAGTCTCACATACTCATTGCCAAGAATATATACTCCAAGGAGTCGCCTACTACCAGTTTAGCGGCTGTGGGAGGGGGCAGAGGGGGAAGGGGGAGGTTGCCGTCAGCAGCCAGTGGGCAGATTACAGAACTCTGGGTTGTGGGAGGTGTCATGCACAACTGGGGTTCTATTTCAGCCCCGACTCCAAAAAGGGCATAATGCTTTTAGCTGGGAAGGGCGTTGAGCTCCTCCCATTTCAGAGGAGAAAACCTGTGCGATACAGGCTCGGGCTGGAGAGAGGGACGGGCTACATCAGCCATGCTCACGGGTGCAGAAATGTAGCCTTCATGGGTAACTTCTGCTGCAGGTGGACACGACCTGGGTCAGTTCTGGGTTCCCTCAGACAACTGAGAGCTTTCCCCCTCCCCTCCTACCTGGGGCGATGGAGTTCTGGAGGTGGGTAAGGGTGCATAGTGACAAGGTGAAGACAAGGGCCACCTGTCCTTGGTCAATTTCGTTCCACAATGGCAGCCCCCACTGCTCTCTCATTTCCACTGGTGGGTCTGGTCACCAGCATCTCTCCCCACTGGTATCCACTGAAGGGCCCACATTCCCATCTGATCTAAGACCCATCTTGGATCTGGGCAAAAGGGTCACCTGCCTGGGCCTTGCACTCTAGAGGTTCGTGCATATCACAGAGACTTAAATGCAGATACATAGATATAGTCCGGTAAGAAATTATTGTGGAAGTCCACTCACTGATTAAGCGAACAAAAAGACCAGAAATGGAAGTAAGAGACAAATTGCCCCCATCCCTGCCAGGCCAGAGGCCCCAGGGCTGAGAATACATCACTGTGTGAGCATCAGGCATTCCTGTGTCAGACAAACTGAGGTGTCAGGAGGCAGCCAGGCATTGGAGCGGTGGACCCCTCCTCACGCTCTCACATACCCGAGTGGGCTCTCAGCTTGCCCCCAGAATGCCTGGACCCCTTAGCTCAGCACTACCGGCACCATGAACTTCACAGCAAGTCTGAGCACCCCTTGGAGGGGCTTTGATGCAGTAAAGTCACGGCCAACAGGAGGGATGGTAACTGAGCGCAGGAAAGCGAGGTAGCAACTTCAAGGTCCTGAAGAAAAACAGAAGCACAGAGGCATTCATGCGGGGCCTGGCCAGAGCTCTGGGGTTGGCAGGGGGAAGGCGAAAGGAGGCCCAGCTGTGGCCTCTTCCCAGACTCACCGATCCTCAGAGCTGGAGGTCCCAGCAGCCTCTGTATAGCTGAGCAGGCGGCCCAGAGGGAAGCAGGGACTCCTTCAAGAGCACACAGCCGAGCTGGAGCAGCAGCCAGGCCTTTGGTAAGTGGGCTCTGCCTACCTGTCCAAGTACCGCAAGAGCCCTAGACGTTCTAGGGCTGCGTCTTGCTCCCATGTGGCTGCACTTGGTTTCTTCATCATAACAGAGTGATGTTAATGAGACCAAGGCACTGAGCCTCCCCTCGGCCCTAAGCTGGGCCCATCATTTCCTGACTACGGCTCCCATCCCCAAAGACAAGTATAATCTTAAGAATACTTGGTCAAACTAGTAGATTCAGCAAAGAGATTTCCTGCCGGTAAAACTACTTCCATCTCACCTGACCCATCCCCCCCAAACCCCCAGACCCACACAAGGGAGCAGGCGGCCCAGGTCACACCTCAGGACGATCTACCAGCAGCCTGTGAGCAATTCAAGGACAGGATCTGGGTCGCACTCCTCCCTGGGTCCAGCACCCAGCATGGAGCTTCTCACAGAAGCCTCAAGGGCACTTGGTGAATGAGTGAATGAATGAGTGAATGAATGAATCACATCTCTTTTGCCCGGAATAATAGCCTCATACCTGACATGGCACAGTGCCAGGAGAGACGTGTAGGATGGATGGATAGATGATGTGCAGAGTGTCCTCCCTTTGTCCCTCCAGCTCTGTTCTCCACCTTTCCACACCCTGCTCTGGGCCCCAGAGGCCGACCTGAAGGGACTGCATCACTGGCTCAAGTGTCCTATGGCCTCTGGTTGGGTCAGCTGATGGGGAGCCCAGAAGGAGGGGGAGGGAGAGGAAGGGAGGAAGCCGCTGGGGACCTTACTGCTCAGGCTTCTCTCTGTGTGGTGCCTCAGATGGGCAGGCACATCCCTTGACAAAGGGCAGAGCTCTTGTCAGGTCCTCTCTCCCTGGGTTCCATTAACATCTCCTCCCTCACCCCTCAGGCTCCAGGAACTATCCACCTGGCTGTTCCTAACGCTCAGGCACTGCGGGGTCCTGTGTGGTTTCCCTTCACACACACACCCATCTTTATAAACTGTCTCTTTATCAAGCCCACCTTGAATTAGCCTGAATGAAGTGTGAATCTCTGTTCTACTGGGACTCTGTCTGATACACATGGGTAACTGGTTAGATGATTGGATGGATGGATGGAAGGATGGAACTAGTATAATGCAGTCGTTAAGAGCCCAAGCCTTGTAGCCTGGATTTGTATCCTAGCTCTACCACTTACTAGATATCTGAACTTGGACAAGTTATATAATATCTCTAAGATTTTTGTTTTCTCGGCTGTAAAATGGGAATAAAAATAGTAACTTACAGGGCTGTTGTGAGGATCGAATGTGATAATAAAGCAAAGACTTGAGCATCTTGCTTGGCACAGTTAGCGCTCCGTAAATGCTCACCCTTGCCACCATGGCTGGAGGGTCATCTGGTAAGACGAGGGCTCGCATGCTGTCCTTGGCTGGAGCCACCTGAAGTTCATGAACGAGGAGGTCAAGCCAGGTCTGGGTGTAAAACATCTGTGAGTTCTTTCCCTGGGGGCCACCAGATTCCCTCTCTTCCCCCAGCCTGGCTATGGACAGCGCTAGCGCCGTTCTCCCTCCTGCCCTCGGAGCTGGGTGGGCAGACAGCTCTCCCTGCTGGGCATGCCCGTGGCTTGGTCCTCTTCCTCTGGAGTTAGGGGAGGGAAGCATGGCTGAGTCCTCGGTGACATAAGTGACTATGACAGTTCAGAGGAAGCTTCTAGACACTGCAGCCCCTAGCAAGCTTCCCACTCCCACCTGTAGGAGGTCCAATTAAGGTCAAGAGCCACAGGGCTTTCTCTCAAGGGGCATCCCAGAATATGAGCCCCCTGGTGAGGCTGAGAGGGGCCCCCAGAATCTCCCCCTTTAGAGGCCTGCCTGAGGCCTGGGCAGCGAGTACTCTCCCTGGTCACCAGGAGGGCAGCCTCCTACCCGAGAAGAGCAGCCCTGGACCCCCTGCCCCCTCACTTGGAGCCTGCAATGCCCACGCACGGTGCACCCACGCACGCTCCCTCCCACCCCTACAGTCAGTGGAAGTTCACTGAGGCCCCCTCTGAGCCAAGGGCCGCCCCAGGCATGGGGAACGCAGATGAGGCAGACGTGGTACCAGCCTTCTGTGCACACAGCACACAGCCAGAGGCGGTCACAGCAGGAAACAGGTGCGTTCAAGCCCCCCCCCCCCACTTTATGGTTGTGAACAGTGAGTCCCAGAGAGTGGAGGGACATGCCCAAGGCCACCCAGCACTTGGGGGCAGAGCCTCTGCCAGCCCGGGATTCCCAAGCACCAGACCAGTGTCTTTCCACCTCCTGAGTCCCTATGAGTTGCAGGGAAGGAGACAAAATGGGTTGTGGCTTGAGGTCAGGAAACTGAAGGGCTTTGGAAACTGACCTGAGTTCAAGGCCCCGCCCTACTGCTGACTTGCTGGGAGGAGTTGGCGGGTCACCTGATCTCTCTCTCGGTCTCGATTTCCTCAGCTTTGAAATGAGAATAATTCCTTCATTGCAGAGGATTCCCACGAGGCTACAGCAAGAACATCCTAAGATGTGCCTGAATAACATGTATTCGGTTGAACTGTAAGAAATTGTCATTTTTTCGAATAATAATTTCACCTAATAATTATCATACTGTCAAATGACAATAAATTATCGTTTATTAATTAGCATAATCATCATCAACCACATGCCTCTCGTACATATTACTTTATCTCTCAGCCTCCTTACCCCCATCCCCACACAAAAAAACAGATAATATGCAGAGCGCTCTCTGTGAGAACTGGCACATAGTAGGTGCTCACTAAAGTTTCCTCCTGCTCCTTCCCCTCCTCATGCAGGCACTTCTTCCGTGGAAGGCTACAAGAGAAGCCGTCCTCTTTTCTGAGTATCACAGCCCCATGGAGATGAAGATGAAACTGTGATTGAGACATGGGAGAAGAGTAAATAAAGATCTAAAATCATCTTCTCAGAAAAGTTTAAAAAGTTAAAAGAAAAAGAAACACACACACACACACACACACACACACACACACACACACACACGGTCATGTTTTTAAAAACATGCACAGTGCAAAACCTGCACAGTGAAAACCTATCAAGTCACGATGGGCTCAGGGACAGGAGACCAGAACACTGTGGATGGCGCCTCTCCCCGCTCCACTCCCTCTGTCAACCCTCTCCCAGACTCCCGGAGGAGGATTTAGCAAGAAAGTCAGTTCATTGTGTTCTAGGTCACAGCTGAGCAAACAACCAAAGTGTCCTTTTGGCAGTTGGATGCCACGTGGAGCCACAGCAGAACTGAAGATTCCAGATCTGGGAGGACCCCAGCGTCTCTAAGTCCAGCCTCCTGCCTCTAGATGGGTAGCTCTCACACGCTGAGGGCAGAGGCTGGTGCTCTCCCAAGATGGCGATGCCACCCCACCTCTAATGCTGCCTGCAGGGCTTTCTCTCAGGCCAGTCAGGAAGTCCTTCCTTTTGTCCCACCACAGCCTTTCCTTCCTTTATCCATTAATCAATAGCCCCTGACAACATCTCTATGGTGGCCTCATGTGTGCTGGTAAAGGGGACCCGAGGACCAACAGAATGGCCCGTACACTCCCCATCTGTCTCACTGGATTGTCGTTGCCTGTTTAGCATCAATCTCCCCACCACCTTGATCCCAGGTGAGGCTAGACCCAGGTGAAGGCAGGACCCAGGTGTCACAGGGTGCATGGAAAGTACTCCCTAAATAGCTGTTCAATGTTAAATGAATGGGGGCTTCCCTGGTGGCGCAGTGGTTGAGAGCCCGCCTGCCGATGCAGGGGACACGGGTTCGTGCCCTGGTCTGGGAAGATCCCACATGCCACGGAGTGGCTGGGCCCGTGAGCCATGGCCGCTGAGCCTGCGCATCCAGAGCCTGTGCTCCGCAACGGGAGAGGCCACAACAGTGAGAGGCCCACGTACCGCAAAAATAAATAATAATAATAAATATTAAATGAATGAGTAAATGAATGAATGAATAGCCATGCTCCAGAGGAACAAGATGCTCCCTGCTTCACAGGGAGCCCACGTCTCTGGAAGGAACAGGTTGGAGGTGGTGAGCAGCTGGCCCCCTAGGTCTCCTTCTGCCACTGGGGAGGCGCTATCCATTGGAGAGGCCGTGAGCCTTCTCACACACGCCTGGGCTCCAAACCAGGTGCTGGGGGATCCCCAGGTCTGGAAATTCCCCTGTGCATGGCACTGGGCTTTCCTGTTCCACCCCACAACTCCCACGGGTCTGGACGTTCTCAGCACCATTTCTTAGAAGGAGATATTGCCTTGTGAAAACAAGTTCTGGAATTCACTACGGGAAGTGGCCGTGTAAACAAGGGGGAAAGACCCTGACTGAAGAGCCAAGATCTCCAGGTCTGATCCCACTGCAGCAATTACAGGCACGGGCTGCAGGGTCGGACAGACCTGTTTTCAACTCCAGCTCTACTGCTTAGGAGCTGTCAGACTTTTGGCAAGTCATTCACTTCACTGAGCCCCGGTTTCCTCTTTTTAAGAAGGGATTATAGTATCTGCCTCAGCAGATTCCTATGAGGATTATACGAGGAGCCAGTAGGGCTGATATTCAGCTGACCTACAAAGATTCTAACTCACTGCTTGGTAAATAGCTGCTCCTCAGACCCCCCTGAGTGCCCCTCCCACCCAGCACATCACCCACTGTCCCCATGATTCAGCAACTAAAGGGTTAACATCTGGCCCAGTAGAGGGTCTCCGGGGCCCTGGTGACCCTTCTGACTGGTTGGTGTCCATATTAAACTAATGGGTGTGAGTAAATGCTTTGTAAACTGCCAGGTGCTGGTTAATCCCCAGATGTCTTACCGGCAAGGCATGCTCTCCACTCCCAAACTGAACTGAGTTCCGTTAAATCCATCCCAGGAATTGGCTCCCAGATGATCTGACCAGATGATCTGACCTCTGCCCAGATGATCCAGGCAGCTTCCACACCCAGTCTGTCCCCTGTCTGGCAATTCTCTAACTCCCCCAATCCATCCCTCTCACTCCTCTGCTAAGCTGGCACAAGCTCCCCACTGGCTTCTGGACTCCCGTGGCTCCCTCCATTTCATTCTCACACTGGACAGAGCCACTTCCAAAAGCAGGGGTCTCTCTTTGACCCCTTGATGAGATGTCCACCTTCACTGACATCCCTCAGTGACGGCTGTCACAGCTGGGGTTCCTGGGGAAGGAGATTTTTTTTTTTTGCGGTACACGGGCCTCTCACTGTTGTGGCCTCTCCCGTTGCGGAGCACAGGCTCCGGACGTGCAGGCTCAGCAGCGATGGCTCACGGGCCCAGCTGCTCCGCGGCATGTGGGATCTTCCCAGACCGGGGCACGAACCCGCGTCCCCTGCATCGGCAGGCGGACTCTCAACCACTGCGCCACCAGGGAAGCCCCGGAAGGAGATTTTGAGATGCATATTTGCTAGCAGGAGGTTTATTGGGGATTGATCTCAAGATGAATACCTGTGTTGGGGGGTAAATGAAGCCGGGCTGGGCAGAGGGACAAGTTAGTTTGTTATGCAGACCCCATGAAGGTCTCAGCCCACCTCTAGGGAGCTCTGGAGCTGGAATGACCTTTCACGGTTGTGCCGAGTTGAGGCGAAGAGCCCTTTACCCTCCATACGGAGCAGTCATCGGATGCAGGCTGGGCCAGGGAAGGGGAGTGACATTAGATGAGGAGGGTCTCCTAAGGCAATGGCAGGAAGGGGAGTCTCAGTGGCCAGCTGTCAACCATCAGAGGGGTGAGTGAATGCTCCAGGCTGAGGGGGGAGGCGCCAGCGTCTGGGGAGTGCGCCGTAGCACCCTCTACAAAGGTGCTTTGGGTCAAGCAGATCCTCAGGAAGGTTTTTGTACAGGATGAAAAGAATCAGCCTCCACTGCCTTCAGGACACACTGTGAATGTCTCTCTAGCACATGAGGCGCTGCATGGTCTGCTCCTAACATCCTCTACTCTCCGCTCTCTTCTCTCACCCCTCCCCACTTGCTCCCAACTTTCTAACCATATTGTGCTGCTTGCAGTGTGCCAAGCTCAACATGCTATTTCACACCTCTCTGCTTCTGCACATGTTATTTCATCTGCCTGGAATGCCTTGAAATGGAAAAAAGAAATCCTTTTCTCTTCTTCCAGCCCCTTCCTACTCCTCCATCAAGACTCTGGCTGAATTCTGCCTCCCCTGGGAAACCTTCTACCACCGACAGACTGGTACTTTTCTTTTCCCTCTTCCAGGCTTTGCCCTTACTGGCTGCCATTCCCTGAGCCTCTCCTACTCAGGTGCCACAAATGCATCCTGAGTAACCGAGGGCCCTCGTGGCACCTGGCCCTGTGGCTCTGAGCCTGGATGAAGATATCATGCAGATGAACACCCAGCACCTGCACCCTGGGCATGGTGGGGGCACGAGGTTTGGGGGCAGTAGTAGAAGGCACCGAGGCGGGCCCTGAAGTCCAACCCCCTCAGCATAGAGATGGGGAGACTGAGGCCCCGAAAGGGGACAGACTTGTCCAAGGTAAGCCCATGCCAAATCGAGGACGAGGAGCAGGTAGGTCTCCAGGCTCTGCAGAAGGAGGGCAGGCACTGTTGTATCTGTCTCACAGAAGAAGAGACCAAGGTCCAAGAAGAGGCAGAAACTTGCTAGGATCACCAAGAGAGTCTGTGACAGACCATCTCTCTGGCTTCGGCTCCCCCGTGGCTGCCTGGGCCTAGAGGCTTCTCTGGAGGAGGAGCAGCTGGGACCCTGATCCTCGCCCCTAGCGACACTGGAATGAGTCACACTTCCTGAGGCCACTGGGCAGTGTCTCCCGACTGGAGAAGCCACCACATTCTTCCTGACCCTGTTTCATCTGTCAAAACCCAAAACTTCCAGGAAGGGAGGCCTGCAAGGCATTTATTATCCACCCACTGTGAGTCTGAGGGAGAAATTGGGCTCAGAAAGGGGGAGTGGTTGCTCCACGACCCCACCACAACCCCTGCCTGGCCTGGCTGGGCGGACCTTGACCCCCAGCCCGTTCTCTCTCAGGAGAGACAGAGAGGCAGAAACAGACACCAGCTCAGAGGGGAGACCGCACTCACCTGGGAAAGTCGGGCAGTAGGGAGGAGACAGCCACAACCACCTGGCAGACAGTGGCAGCCTTACCTCTCAACAGGTCGGAAGGAAGCCTTTGAGAACTGGGAGAAGAAAGAGCTTGGATTTGCCCACCCGCCAGCTGTGCTCCCATCTGACCCCGCTGTTCCCTCAGGCACCCCCTCCCAGACCCCAGCGTCCATCATCCCAGTTGCTGCACCCACTGGCCCTACCCTGTGGCTCAGGGCACAGCATCAGACACCTCTAACTCGACGCCATCTCTCCCGCATTTGTGCCTTTGCACCTGCTGTTGTCTGCCCGGAATGCTGTCCCCTCCTTGTCTCTCTAACTCTAACTCACCTTTTATTTCTTCAGCTGAGGCTTCTCTGAGAGGCTTCCTGGGTCCTCCCATGTGGCCCTTCCTTCTCCTTGAAGCCGATCAGATGCCACCTGCTCCGGCTTCTCCCAGCCCAGGTGCCTCCTTCCCTCCGTCATAGTGCAGGTCACACTCTGGTCACTGCCTGTGTCTGCTTCCCCCCAAAGGCCAGAAGCCTCTAGAAAACAGGGTTGGGCTCTGACTTAAGCAACATCCACAAATGCAGCAAAGAGCTGACCACAAATGATCGACTCATTCATTCATTCCACAAATAATGACCGAACACTACGTGCCAGGGACTGTTCTAGGTGCAGGAGATAGAGCAGGGAACAACACAGACAAAATTCCTGCTGCATGACTATCATTCTATGAGAATGGGGAGAGGGAAGGGGGGCAGGTGAGAGTGAAAATATAATAGTCCAAATAAGTTTGGATGGTGACGGGTGTTATGAAGAAAGTAGAAGTGTTTATTGGATGGGAACTGCAGACAGGGAGACAGGGGTTCCAGACAGGTATGGTGAGCTGGGGGAGGTAAATTCCAGACCCACCCAGCTGTAGGTCCCTCCATTACACGCCCTCTCCAGTTCTGCCAGGCGCTGGGGGGAGGAGGCGTGTAGGAAGGAAGGCTTGGGCCCCCCCTGGAAGTGCCAGACGTCTCTCCCACCCACAGACACGCTTCCTGGCTCTCCAGGAATGCGATTCAGCAACAGTTACTGAGCAGTTAGTTCTGAAAAAGTCACAGTAGCTGCCATTTACGGTCGGCCTAGAGAGTCCCAGGGGCAGAGCTGGCTGCCCTCTCTCAAGGAGCCTCTCAACAGCCTGGTGAGGTGGGCACTTGTCCAGGGTCACACAGCTGGTCCCAGACCCGGCCGGGATCTGAGCCCAGGGCTGGTGACCCATGTGCTTCCCACACCCCTACAGACCCCCGGAGGCTTGGAGGGCAAGCGAGTGGTCCCAGTGGTGAAAGGAGCCAGGGCCTGAGTCTGGATTCGGAGGTCCTAATCCCAGCGTGGGTTTTTTGAGTTGGGAGGGGCCCCTTAACTCCTCTGGGCCTCTGTTGCTCTTTGTGTCTAGAGGAGCCATTAGCCCAGCCCACCTGCAGGGGGTGCTGTGAACATCAGGTGAAATATAGTGGGCAAGCATCTGGGGAAATACCACACGACACACCAGCCAGTCCCTCTGCCCCGAGAACCCCCAGGCTACCCTCCCTACCCCTCCAACCCTGCCCTGGTGTTGGCTGGGGCCAAGCAGGCTGGCCACACACGGCAGGGCTGCTGCTGAACCTGGGCAGGGGTGAAGACCTCTGTGAACTCTGACCACCTCGTAGCCTGGCAGGTAGAAAGCCAGTGTCAAGGCCAGGGGTGGGGCTGAGAGCCGGATTGCTATTCTGGGGAAAGGTGAAGGCCAAGTCAAGGGTCAGGTGTCCTGCAGGTTCACGCTGAAGCAGGATGACTCAGGGACATCCCCGCCCCCTCCCCTGAGAGAGCCAGCTGCCGTTCCCATGCATGGAGGGGAGGCAAAGCTAGCATTTGCTAAGGGCCTACTATGTGCTGGGGCTTTCTCAGGCATTACTTAATTTAATCTACTATTAAAGTGCAGAAATGTTAAGTAACTAGCTCGATGTTGCGTAATGAGCGTATTCATTTCCTGTGGCTGCTATAATCAACTACACACACTGGCTGGCTTAAACAACAGAATTTACTTTCTCATGGTTCTGCAGGCTGGAAGTCTGAGGTCAAGGTGCTGGTAGGGTTGGTTCTTCTGGGACTCCTCCTCTTGGTCTGCCGGTGACCATCTTCATGTTCATGTGGCGCTCTCCCTCTATATGTGTCTGTGTCCAAATTTCCTCTTCTAAGAAGGGCACCAGTCATGTTGGAATTGAATCCACCCTAGTCATCTTATTTTAATTTAATTACCTCTCTAAAGACTGTATTTCCAAAAACAGGCATTCTGAAGTACTGGGGGTTAGGACTTGAACATATGGACTTAGGGGGAACTCAGTTCAGCCTATAACAATGGATAAGTGGCAGAACCAGACTGAATTTGGATCTTTCTGGCTCAAAAACCTACCCTCTTTCTATCATACCATACATTATACTTCTTCCTCTCCCCTGAATCCAAGGCTGATTTCTCATCAGCCTGCCACAAGGGGAGCTAGCATGTCCTGAGCATCTACTGAATACTAGGTGCCTTGCCCCCATGATTGCATTTAATACAACAACTTGAGAGGTGGGCGCCTTGAAGAAGCGGAAGCTAAGAGAAGGGAAGTGGGGCTTCCCTGGTGGCGCAGTGGTTAAGAATCCACCTGCCAATGCAGGGGACACGGATTCGAGCCCTGGTCTGGGAAGATCCCACATGCCGCAGAGCAACTGAGTCCGTGCACCACAACTACTGACCCTGTGCTCTAGAGCCCACGAGCCATAACTACTGAGCCCACGTGCCACAACTACTGAAGTACATGCGCCTAGAGCCTGTGCTCCGCAACAGAGAAGCCACCGCAATGAGAAGCCCGTGCACCGCAACGAAGAGTAGCCCCCGCTCGCCACAACTAGAGAAAGCCCGCGCACGGCAACGAAGACCCAACGCAGCCAAAAATAAATAATAAATTAACTAAAAAAATAAAAATTAAAAATAAATAAATAAAATAATAATAAAAATACCATACACTTAAATAAAATAAATTTAAAAAATAAAAAAGAGAGAGAGAAGGGAAGTGGCCCAAGGGCACACAGGGGAGTTAGTAGCTGAGGCAGGGCATGAACTCTTGCGTCTGACCTGCTCCACTCTGCCACACTGCTGCCCCACCTGGGGCAATAATCACACTGCTTGACCATGGCCACACAGCAGTATGGTGGCATGGCCAAATGGAGGTTGGCGCTCCTGGCTAGGGCACTCACCCTTGAATTGCTGGAGTGCCCCACGGAATAGGGAGCACTAGAGGAAATTAAGGGAAATGGTTATTTACAAACCAAAACAGAAGTATATCTATCTTTTTACACTCAGTGAAGCAGTCCCGACGCATACAGTCTGAACACCAGCCCTATTCTCTACCATCAGTCATTCTTTTGGGAGTTAGGACCATCACTAAAAGTCAGAGTGGAAAACTGCCAGGAACTCCTGCTGACCTAGAAGGTGCTTGACAAGAAGGAGTTTCCTTCCTTTGAAAATAAAAGCCGCGTCTAAGGAGTTACAGCTAAGAGAAGAGGGTACAGGGCTGGAAGGGCCTGAGAAATCCCTCTGTCCAAGCCCCTCACTGTACAGATGGGAGACTGATGCCAGGGACAAGGATCTGCCTGGCTTGTGCATGGAGCTGGGCCAGAGCCAGGGCTGGCACTCCAGACTGCCTGACCACTTCTGCCCAAGTGCCCTGACCCCACTAGAACCAGCTTTCCAGGCCCACCCATTGCCTCACCCCATGGGAACTGCATGTGAATTCAACAGCCTCTTGGTCTGCTGATTTCCCCTGGAGAGAAGAAGCCCAGAACAGGGCACAGTCGCAACCTTCCCTGACCCGGGCTGGCAGCGATCCCTGGAGGAGACGCTTCATCCACCTGCCTGTCCAGGACCAGGCCAGCTGACCATGCTGCTGACCACAGTGTCTGGATGGGCCCCTATCCATGAGCGAGAGGGCAGAGGCCTCGTGGCATAATTGGAACTCCCTCCACCCTGAGCCCCTGTGTCAATGAAGAGGTTAAGAGCACGGACTCTGAAACCAGAGGGCCTGAATTCAAGTCGTGGCTCCACCACTTACTAAGTCCATGAACCAAACAAGTTATTTAACTTTTCTGTGCCTCGGTTTCCCTTTCTGTAAAATAGGGATGATAACAGTAATGCCTTCCTCATAGAGTTGTGAGGATTAAATGAGTTAAGAACTGTATCTTGCCCATTGTAAGTTTCGGTAAGTTGTTAACTTTAAGTTTTATTTACTGGAGCCACTGTTACAGGTGCCAACAGCACAAAAACTAAGTTTAAGTCCCAGCTCTGCCTCTTTCTCACTGGGAGGCCCTGGACAACCTCCCTAAGCCCCAGTCTGTAAAATGAGGGCTTGAGCCACACCTCCCAGGGTCCCCGGGAGCATCAAAGGTAACCATGGCATGAACCCTGGGACACAGTCTACAAATGTTTAATTCCCGTGACTACCACCAGAAATTAAAATGAAAGCACGTTGATAGACAAGTATCCTTTTTCCTTTTAGGTATGGGGCTTGCCCTGCAGCTCCAAACAGTAGGACTTGGAGCTGGCTGGGGTGGGAGGGAGGCCCCCAGCTCTGCCACGGACAAATCACTGACCCTGGCTGCTCATCAAGGGCTGAAGCATCCCTCTCTTGTGCAGTCATTCCCCGGATATTGGCTCTGGAAGCACAGAGCCCATGGCTGATGAACGTTCTTCACCTGCCTGGGAAGGCACCTGAGTTCAGTCATGCATTTGCCCTGGGCATGCTCCCTTATACAAGAGCACACTGGGTCCTGCCCTGTTCTTTCACCCTCTCCTCTCCCTACCTCCCTCCTCCACCTCTTCTCTGCTTCCTGCCTCCTCACGCTCAGACCATCTTACTTCCCCCGCTCAGGCTCTGGTTTTAAGGACAGACCTTGACCTCACAGCTCCTAGACCTTTGACTAGAAACGCTCAGGGTTTCAGTCTTTGGGGTTAAAGGGAGAGATTACTAAGACTAGTGGAAAAGAGCAGGGGTTTGCAGGCTTTCCGCACTGAAGTGTCTGGGGGCCTGTCGCCTGGTGCGGGTGACCATCGTTTGTGTATGGGGGTGGGCAGACGAGTTGTGAGAAAGGAGGCTGGATGGGCAGACGGAGCCCCCCTCAAGATCCCTCAAGAACATTGAGAAGCTAAGACAGGCAGAGGCTATGGGGCAAAGCCCTAATGTGCTGCTTCCTGGGACCAGAGCCCCCTCAGAAGGTCCACTGTGGCCCAGCATGGGGTGTGCACAGGGCACCTCTTAGCAGGTGAGCTAGAGCTGCATCAGCGACTCTGAGGGATGTTACGGCAGCTGTGAGCCTGGAGGGGCATGGCCAAATGCTCCACGTCTCTCAGGTCCTCAGCCCTTGGTTTAAATCTCCCTCTAGCCACTCGCAAGCCATCCAACCGCTCCCTCTTTCTGAGCCTCAGTTTCTCCAAGTCTAA